GTAACCGGATTGGCGAAGGTTTACACAACAAGAATTTCTGGGAAAAGCTAATCGCATATTTTCCCATCACTATAATATCAGTATTTGATTCGACAAGTTTTTTATTTAACTAATAGCACATTTGCAATCTACTCTCGATAATAGGGAGCAATAAGTAAATTTGCTCTAAGTAGGCGTCTTGAGTAGAGGAGGCATCCACTGATACTCTGACAGGCTCTGTAGAGGAATGGTGATGGTTTTAATCTTCGTCATCTGCAGGTTGTGGTAGGTCAAACGGCCACTGGCTCCTTCCTCATCTGCGGGTTGTGGTAGGTCAGACGGCCACTGGCTCCTTCCTCATCTGTGGGTTGCAGTAGGTCAGACGGCCACTGTCTCCTCAATCATCTGCGGATTGCGGTAGGTCAGACGGCCACTGGCTCCTCAATCTTCTTCTTGCATTTGGGGGGACTGCTAATTTCTGCAGCTAGTCTGTTATTGTGTCCCAGTACACTTTTATGGTAGAGTGTTGACAGTCTATGTATTTCTTCTGTGACAAATGGGATTTGCAGATCAGTGTGGATGGTAAAGTTGGAGACATACCAAGGTGCTTTAGTTACTGAGCGCAAGAATTTGAATTGAAGTCTATGACTTATTTTCATGTTTGATGGTTTTGTACAGCCCAATAGCTATATACCATATGTCCATATGGGTTTTATTATACACTTGTATAGTAGAAGTTTGTTTCCTATGGATAGCTTGGATTTATGGCCCAAAAGCCAGGATATTTCTCGTAGTTTCAAATTTAATTTCTGCCGAGCTTCTGCCATGTCAGTTTTTGGTCGAGGTATAATCCCAAGTATTTTAGTTCGGTTTGGACTGGTATTTGCATATTATTGACGGTAACCTGCGGGCAAGTATGCGTTTCGGGGTAAGGGTAACTTGTACTGATTTTGTCTGGTTTATTTTGATTTTCCATTTGTTGTAACATTGCTAGAGGAGGTTTAAGTGATGCTGAAGATGTTATGATGCTACTACTGGATCATATTTGCTGCTAGCAGGGCTGTGCCATTGCTGGAGGAGGTTTAAGTGATGCTGAAGATGTTGTGATGCTACTACTGGATCATATTTGCT